ACAGCTATGAAAATGAATTCACAGTAAAGCGAACTCTTTGTTGAGCCAATCTTTTTTACTTTATATCTAAATGGGTATATTCCGTTTATTAGTGTTTTGCCAAATTTATGTACTCTTTGATACTGTTTTGCAGTCTTATCTTCTTTTCTAACGGTTTAAAATTTTCTGACTGCTTTCACACAGCTTTTTGAAACCGTGAAAAATTGATTAACAAAGAACTTACGAAAAACAGCTACCATTCAGTCTTTCTTAATTTACGTTATTTTGTATTTATAAGATAAGTAGATCGCCGAGTTCAATGTTATAGATTTGGAACTTTGAATAACGAATGAAACAATCCCATCCAAATCTGTTTTCTGACAGAGAGAGTCTAAGGAGATGAAAAATGTTCAGACGTAGGTAGGTTCCTGCAAAAAAAAACTTTACTTATAATTACGTTAAACAAAAGTGTAGGATTTTTTTAGTCTCCTGATAATGAAAATTTTTAGTTTAAAGCGTCAAAACTAATACTCTTCTAAACATTAACCTGATAGATTGCTTATGCTAAAAATTTGGTCATAAAATATAATATGACATCATAAATACCAAGTAAGAGAAATATTGGAGAGAAGAAAAGAGGTATTCACTTAAGATATGGTAGATGCGCTCTTATCACTTCTTTTTATTTCTTTCTTACTATCATCGCTACCTCATCATTTCGACTCTTTTGCTATTTATCTTGTTAATTTCCTCTCGTCGTACTGATGTGGTGTAATGAGTTAAATCAGGCTTTACGTTGATCATGATTTTATTTAGATCAACGATATTACAACAGAGTGAGCACCAATGGCTTCGGTTTCAATTGGCATCTCGTCTTAATTCAAGCGTCCCTATTGTGCTGTTATACCTAGGCACGTCAGAATTAGTTACTTGGTAATACAACAACTAGTAGCGGTCCTTCAGAGACAGTGATGGTTGAACTCAGAAAGTTGTTGAACATAAGCTCTTAGTGACCCGTTTACACAAGTGTTGCGGTGAAGAATTGTAAACTTTGATAGAACTAAAATAAAGATATATTATAGTTGTGTGGCGTAGATCAAATTAAGTTTTAATGATCGGTTTAGTTACTCATATCCAAACTTGAGCGAATTCTTATGAAACCAAACCTCATCTGTTTCCACTGTTTCATGATAATTTGTGCTAAGCTCACGAAGTACTAACTGATATCGATCTCCCACCAATTAGTTGCTAATTTTATGACCAGCACTTTACAGTACACTGAGGTCAGGTCTAGATACTTGAAATCGAGCAGTTTTTTAAAGTGACGAATTCACTCTGGTACCTTGTACTTCCTTACTTGCAGTTGTCGGAATGTTATCGTTGAGGAGATCCAGAAAACTTGAAAAAAGCCATGAAAGGCTCTGAAAATACTGAGAAGCATCTTATCCAATCAGCGTTCCCTAGAAGTTTTGTCAGAAACATCTGCAAAGTGAAAAGTCGAGTTTCTGATTGGATGATTACTTATACTACTAAAATGTTTAGTAGCATTCCAGAATTTCCGGGACACCCACGGACATCTAAAATACCACAAAAACCCTAGATTTTCTGCACATAAACGAACCTTTGATTTAAAGCGTTTAATTCCATATTTCGTGAGGGGTTATTCTTTACTCAAAAGGTACGAGAGCTGTTCATTGTTTTGTTAAATAGATAAGAATTTTATCAGAATGAGTTTTGTGGAGATTTTAGTAAATTTCACAAGTTGAAATCATGAGTCAGTTGAAGCTAGACCACTATTGAAAACCTGGAAGCCGTCACCAGTGGAGTTCAACCAGGTCTGTTGTGAGATATCAGCTCACTGAAGACATTGGTGTTCGATGGCGCAACTTCGTGGATTGGTTGAAGTTAGACATTAACACCGTTGGATGCCGGCTCAGTGGTCTAATGGTTAAGTGCTCGCGCGCGAAGCCAGTAGGTCCTGGGTTCGAGCCCCGCGTGGTGCGGGATCGTGGATGCGTACTGCTGAGGAGTCCCATACTAGGACGAAACGGCCGTCCAGTGCTTCCAGGTTTTCAATAGTGGTCTAGCTTCAACTGACTCATGATTTCAACTTGTGAGATAAGAATTTGTTGGATTAATATAGCCACTTGTTTGGGAAGTGTAACTAAAGAAGTCTTACGTCACGTGTTGCAGACATTTCGCAAATTTATCCGCTTATCGAACAGACCAAACTAGTTACCAGTTTGGAAGCTGGTGCTCTGTAGGGAGTAAGTGTGTAGTGGCTGGTAGTAAGGTTATTCTAGCTAATGACCAATTTATTTGAAATCATCAAGTCGAACCTTGGTAACGCATACTTGTAAATTCTAACATAATATTTTGAGTAAGCTATAAGACATTGGATTAATGCAGCCACAATAAGAAACCAGACAATCACCAATCAGGTTACAATACGAAATAGACCGCTTTTATCAATAAACAAAAATTAATGTATATAGTACGGTTTATTGAAGAAATTACTTGTCAGATCTCTAAAATATTGTAGGGTCTCCTCAGTGTGCCTACGTACATTCTACACATGATTTATAATGTCTGCTAATTGAACGCTCGATCTGATTCCAAAACTGCTTCAAATACCCCAGCGTAATCTATACGGCGACTTGGACACAAAAGAAAAGGTGAGAAGTTCGAAACCTAAAAATCAGTGATGAGAATTTATCGAACTCCCAAACTAAATAAAAAAGACTTATGAATGCACCACTTTTTAATGATTAATTTACAGTCAAGTCGGATTAATTAAGTGAATTAGATTGTATTTAACAATATTAATTCAGTGACTTACTATGTGAGCGCATACTTACAATTAAGTATCTTAATACGTCACAAGACTGGACAAAAAATCAATTTATTATGTTATTCTCACTTCAATTGATTAAACTACCACTTGTCACATCAATTTAAAAAGAGAATCTATCAAAAGGCAACGCAAACGTCAGTGAAACTTTCATCTACATAGTGGTCTCCTTGAATATTGGAGTGAAGATATTAGCTAGAAGGCACTGATTTCGGTGGTGCTGCGTTAGTACCATTATTGATGTTTTATATGAATCTTCATTTCAAAAGAACTTTTGACATAAATTTCGACCTTATTTGTGCTTATAAGAAATAGTGTGTTCGTTTACTCAAAAAAAACTCCTGTACATCTTTCAGAGGAGCTGTGTCAGATATGAATTATCTAGTGAGTAAATAAATAAATGACAGTATATCTTATCTAATTCATTTCTGCAGAAAAAAGTATCTATAGTTACAGTGTCAGTATTTAAACTTCGATTAAACTACCTGTAAACCAACGTGAAATGTAAGTAAATTTACAGTAACAGAAAAACTTGATTTTCTTTACTGTCTGTGTATACGCATTACAGCTTCATTATTCAAATAACCGTACCTACCTTGTAGATTTCATTTAACCTGTCTTGTTCACTCAATAGTTCTACCAAATGTTTAACACGCTTACATTAACACAAATTGAACTGCTGCATAATATACGAGGCCTTTGATAAGCAGATTAAAATTCTGTACGCATCAATAGGTGATATGCTGAAAGCCTACTATATAGTGACATTGATAATCTCTTAAAACTACAAAAGCGAAGCAACCAAACCCTCACTACGTGTTGGAAAATTTTTCTCGAGGAATTAAAAGGATATCAAATGGGATGTTCTTTGTACATTGGCTAGATAATACTCTTGAAAATGAATCATAGTGTAATGAGGAAAAAACGATGCTAAAACTTATTCCTCTACATTGTTTGTTTCGCGATTGATTAAGAAACAGAAGTTTTAACACCCAAGAGATAGAAGTTTCGAACAGTGTCTATCGTGAAACAAATAAGGTTTTGTAACTCTAAAAGTTGTTGGTGATTGAATGTGACAGGGATGACCAAGTTTTGAAGAACCGCACAATAATATAAACTTTAGACTTGAGAATCATAGTAGAGGATATCTTCAAGTTAATTTATATTTGCAGATCACAGTGAAACATAAATGTTTCATATTTTTTGTGAATCCCCTTAGGCAAGTTATCATCCAATAGGCTTTATTAATGAATTAAAATTATCATAATCTATTATGTTGTACTACGTTTATTAATTGCCATTAAGCGAACACAAATCATCAAAAATTCTAAGTTTGTATCAAATCTTCCGAAATGCATATTATTTACTGAAGATCTACTTAGTGACAATCGACATACCAATATGTCAAATGGAAAGAAATTGAGTACGGATTATGGTCAGCAACAATTGTCAAAACTATAATAACGGTAGGTATATGATGCGTAGAGAGTTGCGTTCTCGTAATGAAATTAAACAATGGATAAAAAGGTGATCAGGAAAGTTAAGTATCATGGCTAACAGATTGTCACAATGGTAAAAATGATTTATTGATAGCAATACTTTATTACCACGTCATTCTTTATAATTCCTTACGGCATTTTTGATTCTTGAGCAGTACCCAACTCTGTAGTGTAACATCTTCAACTAATACAATACAATACTATCTTGATTCCCACATTTTCTGATTGACGCTTGCTGCACAGTAGGAAGAGACTTGTTATATGTTTGAATATTGCTTCTAACATATACATTTTCCCATTTCGATGATTGTCAACAAGATAGCAGAGGATAACAAGTTGGCTCATAAAATAAAATAGCAAAAACCTCAATGTTAGGGATTTTCGCAGCTTTCCAGTAAAATTAGAAAATTGCATCTTTACTCAAACAAAAACTCAAGGTAAAAGTTTTAGAAAATTACAAACTTTATATATTTGTACAGAAAATATTTTGTCGATTTCTTTATTTAAAAAACCCCTATCCTTAAACATATCAAAAAAAATCCAACACATACTGGGTTTTGCCAGGATGCAATCATATGAACAAAATATACAGACCATCAAGGATAAGTAAACATTATTATACATATCAAGTCACTGTACATTTGGATGTTACTTATGAAAATCAAAACTGATCAGGAAGTTTTAGCTAATTTCTCAGAAAAGTCTTCTAAAATTCCGTTCACATGTTCATTGTCTTTAATATGAACTGGACGATTCATGGTACGTTTTTGTCCTGGTTTCTTTCTTTGTACAGGTAACTTTAAAATACACAACAAAAGCAGATTCTGTTCAAACATCAATATTGTGGAATTTAAAATAAGGAAATTAGAATTACACGTTTATTGAAACTGGTTACTGTTATCTCAGATGATTTACTATAATTAATTATTAATATGTAGCAAGTACCAATGATAACCGTTTAAACCTAGGAATTTGGATATCATAAAGTCTTAAGAAATATCATTATGACCAATCGACCGAAATTTTATTCATCAAAATACAGAAGGTTAGAAAGAAACTTCTATATAGATTATTTCTCATGAACTGGGCCAGTAATAAAGAAAATATAATCAAATATATGGTTAATTAGATTCATATAATAGTTCTAGTTTATTTTTCTGAGGTATTCAAATTTTTCATCGACATATAAAGATCAAATTCTTGCATACAAGAAAGTGGGAGAAGGATACAGAAATACGATCGAATTAGTAACAGTGACCCACCCTAAACATCAATTAAAAATAGTAAACTCACAAGATTGAATTATAAGTATAATAATGAATGGTCGTCCATTACGAACAATCATTCCACCGAAAAGTGTAGATAAGCTTTCGTTGCAATTACATGTCGCTACAAAATGGCGAGTAAACCCGCGTGAGGCTTCGCGAAACGTCCTGCTTATAAGCACTGGGTTCCTTCGAGCTCCTTACAACACATCGAAGCCCGTCGGTCTACTCCGAGTGACCGTGAGTTTGACCACAAACGAAGGCTGATAGTAATGAAATCGGGCAAAGCTTGCGTAAGGACCGAAAAGCCTGGCGCTTGGAAACTGCTAAGTTGGAAGCAACAGCTACATATATTGACTGTCGAAAGGTATTTCAACTCGTTCGAGTCACTCGAAGCAAGAAGTTCGTGTATCTAGGTAGCTGCATAAGTGCTGGTGGTGGCGTGAGTGATGAGACCAATGCACGTATAGTGAAAGCCAGAGCGACTTATGCCAATCTGGGCCATCTTTGGCACCTTCGTGATGTTAGTCTGGCTGTAAAAGGTCGGATCTACAACGCGTCGGTGAGAGCAATTCTGCTCTATGCTTGTGAAACATGGCCTCTCCGAGTTGAGGACGTTAGACGACTCTCTGTGTTCGATCATCGCTGTCTCCGAAGGATTGCTGACATTCAGTGGCAACACCATGTTGGTAATGCAGAGGTCCGGCATCGTGTATTCAGACGGAGAGACGATAATCCAATTGGTATCACCATCTTGAAACATCGACTTCGGTGGCTTGGACATGTTCTACGAATGTCGTCCCGGAGAATTCCACGTCGTGCATTATTTGCTGACGCTGGGACTGGTTGGAAAAAGTGGAGAGGTGGTCAGTGGATGACATGGTGTCGTGGTATGAAAGAAAGCTGCAACGAGATGACTCCTATTGATGTTTCACGACTCCCTGGCTGGGGTCTGAGAGATGGTGCGACACAGTGGCTAGAGACGTTATCAGATATGGCTCACAATAGAAGTCAGTGGCGATCCTGCTGTGACCTTCTTTTACTTTCTTCATAAAAAGTGATTGTGTCTTCCTTAACTGAAAGAATTCTTCTGGTAGTACCTTTACGTTTCCCCATTATTATTCATATTATTATTATTATTAAACTACCACACACTAATCTGTGGTCGTTATTGTTTTTTTCTTATATGCACCTTACTTTCTTTTTCTCTTCCCATTCTCATTGTTTTGTGTGACGCATATATATCTGGTGCTCCTCTTGTACCAATATGTATGTGTTCAAATGAATAAATAAACAAATAAATAAATAAACAGATTAATAAACAATAACGATGCAGTATCAAAACCTGATCATTTTCGTGTTTTGATGTAGTGAGATGACAGATTATATTGTTTCCATTGTAGCTAACTGTTGTGAGTATAGAAGGGAGACAAAGTCTAAAACCAAAATTATCCTACGCGAATAAATCACCCAGGGTTGTTTTGGTGGGTGGACTACAGTATAACAACAAGAATGATGCAAGGTAAAAATCTGTATTGCTCTTGGATATGAATTAATCAATATGGTATAGGAGGAACTTCAACAGCAAAGTACTTACTAAGATTAGTCATAACAGTGTGGTATTATGAAAAGCAATCAACAATGTATTAATGATCCATAGTAATATATGAATTGGGAAATTACTTTGTTTCCAGTATATACGTGTAGGTAGAATAGTGAGAAAAAAACGATATAAACTTACGAAATTTTTACGATCACCAGACATTGAGGAGATTCCATTACGTTTTAAATACTCCTCAATTTTTGTTTCATGAACACCCTCCACACTCACCGATCGCCATTGTTGCTTAAATTCTACAAGTATACAAAAGAAATCGTAATAATATTGATAATCAATAATTCACAGAAATCAATTATAAAGTATACGAAACAAAAGTGTATTTTAAAATCCCAGCTTAATCAGTAATGCGCATTTATGACCTGAAACACAATTTTCAAACATCTACTTATTGTGATTTGAATTAATTTCTAAAACTAAGTACAAGTTACAAACTAGATTTTTGACAGAAAAGAATAATAGTTTTCATTTCTTTTTTGCAAACATTAACTATGCTTATCAATAACTTTGAAATCTATCCAGTTATTTTAAAGCGGCAAACTGAATCAGAAATTGGACTGATACTACTTGTTGATGCAAAAGGAGTATGAAATATTAAAAATCTACTCGAAAAAAAACGAAAACGAAATGGAAAATTGATGCGAACTAAACGTTAGCAAACAATTAGAAAAGGATTAGTTTAATACGGCACCAGTAGTCATGAGAAAATGATGAGGGTAAAAGTTGAAGATGATGAAATATTTAAAGAAGTGAGAAAGAATTTGCAAGTTATATAGTAAATGGTGGCTAATTTATTTTTTCCTACTATCATATATTTCGGAATTCAGAGTAACAAGAACTGATATTTGTAAGTGACACGAAATCCACAAGAAACTGATAGTCTGTTTGAGATATTCGAGGTGACAGTCAATCAACAGCAGCGTAGAACCTGGTACGTATGTATATCGGTTCAAGTTTCCATACCCCATTAGCACAGAGACGAAGTTGTCACGTCAAATTCCAGAAAGGTAAAGGTAGTAACAGTATCAGTGGTAATAGAAAACATTGGGTATCAAAAATAAAACTCGAGAAAATATAAATTAGTGAAATAAAAAAAGGTTATTAGGAACTTAGAATTGCAGAATTTGAGGGCAGACAAAGAATGGATTCGCCTGTGCCATTGCAAACGATTTTGAGCCATTTCATTCTGTATCTCTAACCATTAGCTACGGTAATTACACGGACCGCGGTCAGGTAGTCTACACATATTAAAATGGCTAAATGCAACTGTTAGTGGACTGATACCATGTTTCGGTCTGGCCACCCCTTGTTTTCTTTCAGCCTACTCCTAAACTACAAAACATTGCGCGTTGAGGTAAGGAGTGGTTGGTCATACGTAACACATTTTCCAACCACCTCAGTTGATGAAGGTTTACTACTTCATTAATCGATTCGACATCCGTACATATTACCATATTCCTAGCCCTACATAAAACATAAGACGAACTTCTAGTTAGTTATTGTGACTTGTGATCCTGTGCCCTTATCAACGTATGATGTAATGATGCCACCAATTGGAGAACAGTGAATTATCGACCGGACCAATGACGCATAAAACCCGTACGAGCAGTCTAGAGTCTTTACCGGTCCTTCTTCGTTCCTAGCCCTGCCTGTTAAGTCCAGAACACCAATCTCAGCCTCCATGATATGAATCATGTATTTCAAACATACTGGGTTTTTATCCAAACCAAAGAGACTACATCGCATCACAAAAAAGAAAACATCTTACAATATTAGCCAAAAGTGGCTGTGAATGTGGAATAATGTAATTAATAGACTGGGCATAACTCAAAAATGGTAAATCATATAATAATAGTCTATGGGTCAAAATAAAGCTTTGATTAAGAGGAACATGAATATGCTTACTTTAGCTACTTTATAATTATACAACAAAAATATATGTATCGTACTGGTCCACAAATAGTCCTCAAAATTTACCATTCATAATTCTCGTCGGGATATAACACTAGTAAAGTAGCCTAATTAGTCGTCATTTTGCAGAGTTTCTAATACATTTGTGTTATTTATTTACCTTTCAGAGGAAAAAATAAACCTACTGCTTTTTTGAACACTTCGTTAACAACTAATTTTGTGTTAAATTTTGGACGTTTAAACATGTCTATCAAAGAACCCTAATTAATAAGTCAACCATCTTTGGAACGTTTAAAAACATTGGGCATTTTTAGGAAATTTCAATTAATTTCACTCAGTAGAATAATCAGACACATTTACTGTAACCGATACACTACGATTTACCAATGAACCTAACTAACCGCATATCAAAATGCAAAAGTCACTTTCTCTACCCTTTCAGTGCTATGTATCATAATCAATTAATGCTTGAATTAAATGAACTGTCGGTTTTCTGTGGAACAACACAAACTGCTGATCATTCTCACTTTGAGCACATTAATAACTAAAGGTGATAAATATTAGCACTATAATAAACAGACTGAATAATACAGGTTTTATAAGCAAAGATGGATAGTGGCTAGCAGTGGAATCCAGGACGCGCGTTTCGTCCTGTTTGGGACTCGTCAGCTGGATGTACCTGCATCTCAGAGTTGATGTTCACTCTGGGACTCGAACTCAGTACCGTTCGCTTCAAACGCCATCGCGTTATCCACTTAGCTACTGAGTCCTGATAGCCACTTGCTTGTGCAATGGGTTGAAGTTGAATTCACTTGATATTGTTTTACTTGAATTTTCCCATTGGTGTTTTTTGTTTGGACTGAAATTGATCAGTCTCCAAACAAAAAACACCAATGGGAAAATTCAAGTAAAACAATATCAAGTGAATACAGGTTTTAGTTTAGAGATAAGACTTCAATTTATTCTGAGTGACTTTGGTGACGTACAACAATAGCAATGAATATCAAATTTTATACGTCTTTGAGTGTAACAAAATAAACTTAATAAGTGAGGTATTGTATTTCTATAAAATGATTGTTTTGTTTGCATCCTTACTTCATGTACAATTTAATCCTTTGTCTCTTTATTAATTGCTAAACTATTCCTTTATGTAACATTGTATCATTGACTAAGTGTTATTTATACAGGTAAAATCCATGAAAATTACTCATGAAAGTAATTTCTCTGAAAAGGTATTTAAAATTCTTTCAATCAATGTCTCTATGATACGCCCGTGATATTTAAACTATTCTCTTCTGTTGTTTTCTAAAGTTTATAGTTTATTATTTGTAGCATTAAGTGATTATTTCTTCCTGGTTTTATCCTACTAACAAACAGAATTTTTATCATGATTTGTATTGATTCAACTTGATCACTAACTGGTCAATTTTCTAGTACTTTTGCCCCCTAACTAATCTACGACAGATAAGAGGACCAATATTCTTGTTTCATCATAAATTTACAGAAAAACATATGAAGATTAATTTTGTATTCAATTAGCACTCTCAGTTGCTTACAACCACTTCTTCAACCCAACTTAAGACTCAAAACAAAGAATTGATGCACAAATGAATATGAATAGGCTTATATCAGTGCAAACTTGATAATCAAAAATTATCCCAGAAATGTGTCTGCGTAGAATTCGATGAATTACTACAACTGATTCAGGTTGCAAAACAACCAATTAAAACAGAACGGATGTAAAGTCAAGGGATCCAGAATATAAGAAATGTAAGCAGGTTTAAAGTAAAAGTTTAATTCAGTGATATATATCAGTGAAATATTCATTAACAGTACTACTCTAATAAGGTACAAATTAGTAGTCCACTATCTCTAACTATAGAATTGCGAAAAGACCGGGAAATGAGGCTACAGTTATTCGATTATCACTATATTACCACAAAGTAAGCTAAACTTGATGTAGGACTTTTGGTTTCCATGTGATAGAAATTGGCTAAAATTTCCCTTAATGTTAATTAAAAAATATCAAGAGTTGGTTGGACGATATCATTGACAGAAAATGCTTAGAATAGATATCATTGAATTAAACTTCTATATTATATATATATTTTTCTATTCTGGATCCTTTTACTGAACATCCATTTCATCCGTTGTTTTAACTGGTTGCTTTGCAACTTGAATTAATTGTAGTAATTCATCAGGTTAATAGTTAGCACACACTGCACAGTCGTAAAGAAGTTCTATTAAATCCTTAGAAAACTATAAAATAACACTTCTAAAAACTGGAATATGTACAGAAAACACTATTTTAATTTTTATATGAGTTATGCACCGGAAATAACGATAAGTGAATCAAGAGATTAGAGGCTAGATACAGATGAAAACAGAAGTTATAGTAATACATACGTTGTTCATTTACACCTACCTTCATCTACATTCAAATCGAAAGATTTGTCGTTGTAAAACAAAATGGTTTTCTTATCGTGTGGTGTGACAATGCGAATCACATGGTCACCAAAACTCTGATCAAGTAAAAAAAGCAAAGAAATATATGCCCAAAATACAAAAACTATTGAAAAAGAAATCATAAGATACAGAAGTTAGATGAAGAAATATTTAACTATGGATTGATTGAAAAATGAATGTGTTAACTATATCTGAAATTGTATGGAATAATTCAGAATAGAGAATAGAAATAGAATAATTTAATCCCATATCCCTTATATTAGGTCGAACGGTTGGACTGACAAAGTATAGTCGCTTATTATATGACATAACACTATATTACTAACACATTTTCAACCCTAATCTATTGAGGATTCTAAGTACACCAAAAAATCTCAATGTGAGTATAGTCTTTTTTGATGAAGATGAACATTAGAAATACTGAAAGAGTAAACATGAATTTACTAAATAGTAACGCTTAATGGATTATCTAATAGTCCATCTCGTCAGATTTTTTTAATTTCATCAAACGTTACCATCACCTTTTAATGGATCATATGGTGAAACAGCACTTTAGTCGCTTAGTTTCCAAGACTGAGGTTAGAGTTTCTCGTTTCAATCCAATTACCTAAGTTTAATTAACAAGATAATATTATTAGCCCTCAGGTACTAGATAGAGATCAGTTCATTACTAGCTCCAGATATAATTAGACTAAATCTGACAACCTCATATAAATATACCCAGTTGAAGGTGGCGGAGTTGTGACAATGGTTTTTAACAATGAGCTAAATAGACTTGAGACATTCAGCATTATGAAATTTATGAGATGAAAGAACTATCTTAGACGTACAAAATAATTTATAACAATAAACGAGAACTTAAACATTAAGAGGAAGCAAGCTTCAAGATAGTATTCTAAATTTACTTATTAACGGATAACTTTTGTTTACTAACACTCAACAAATTATTACTGACATCACCTAACTATAAATCAGTGACCACAATCACAATGATATTACAGGTAAAACTCTTGAAGAGCTCAATGAAAAAGGAATTTTCATGAGTGAGATGGAAATGTAGATGTGCAAGCTGGGAACACAAAGTGGTCAGATTAAGTTCATGATTAAATCGCGCTACCAGTAACGAAGCAGCGAAATTCGAGCTTTAACGGTGCTAATATTCTAATCTGCGATAATGTATTTGTGAATTAAAATGGACATATTTACTCAGTTGTCTTTAGAATTCTAAATTTCCTGTCCATATAGGTGTCTGACGATCTACAGATAGTGAGTGTGAGAATAAACTCATCTGCAAAATCAATTTACACAAATTGAAAAGCAAATCCAAACTATCATATATAGTAAAACAGATTCAATTAATTTCACTTAAATTTCCGTTCTCTACCTGAGGTTTTTATTGGGGACAAATAGTTACCTGAAGGTAGGTAGTACAATAACCTAATAACTTCATGCCTTCAATTACGAACAAATGTTACAACCACAGAACATAAGGGAATACACAGGTGTGCTGAGCATCGGGAATACTGAATAGGTAGGTTAACTTGTCAGCGCAACAGGTGGGATAGATTAAAAAATAAAAACCGAATTTTATGTATAGGGCTGAGAGTTGACTTGGATCTTACCAACTTGTGTTTATATAAATACGGAAATAGATAGAACAGATACGAAATTTTCAGAAAGTATACAACAGAGTATGCAACGACAACGACATAATTCAGATGCATACTATCTACTGAAATACATTTTGGATCAAAAGTGATTTGCTTACATTGAGAATTTTTTCAACATCAGGAACAGATTCAGTCAAATCATCTAGATAAATTCCCCCCAAACCCTTCAACTCCTGACGACGGAGAAGTTGGTAAAGATCCTTACGGGTACGAATATCATATCTCGGTTTAAATACGAACTTTGCATCCGTAGTAACACGAATTTTGGGATTATTCGGTAGAGCCTAATATAAAAATATTGCAATTAAAGTTAAATTACTTCTTCCTCCAGCCATTTTACGGTAGCAGGTGGTGTGTCATGAAGTACAGCTTCTTCCAAAATTTCTTCTACGGATAATGGATGAGTATCGCCTTCTAAATGGCGTTGCTATGAGAAATTATAGCATACGGTACGTGGCAAACCTTCATGTACTTTACTATTCGAGATAAAACAGCAAACTTCCCTTGCAATTGAGGTTTTAATTCGAGAGATCGCAATTCCGAAACAGTAGAAACTGAAGGAGGTCCACGGCGGTGTACAGAAGTCATAGCACCTTTTTCCTCTGAAGTACCAGAAAAATTAGACTTTGGTTTCTCAACAACAGGAATTGTCATGGCTCTCTTCAAAAACGCTTCTCTCTCTTTTATAAGGCTTGGATTCATCTTCAGAGCTAAAACGAAAAAGGAACATCTTCTATAAGATTAATTTCATATCATAAAACACTAATGACAACTGCATTTAAACTCGTTAATTTGTCTTTTTATCGCCTCATAATTTGGCATCAGATCCTGAATAGAATGTAGGACAACACTAAGATCCAAATAATAAACAAGATTTGTTTAATAGTGCATGATTTGGTGTATTATGCATCGGAGTGCTATGGTGGCAATAGTTTTTATTTCTTTATTTAATACACACACATTGTGGTACAACTGGGGACCAAAGTGTGTGCCGAAATAATATTGAGAAAAAATAGGAGGAAGAGTACAACCAAAAAATAATGATGTGGTTAGTAGTAGTATATAATAGGAGATACGATCCAGTTAAAAATACAAACAATAAACGCTTTTTTCGGTAAGTAGAGCCCCTCTCGGTTTTATGATGAATCAAAAAGAAAACTAAAGTAGGATTGCTACTAGCTTTTACCATGTCGTGTCTGGTAACATCGTAAATTAACGAGTTACACGACCTCTCAGACCCCGACCGAAGCCGTATTGGATTGCCAGATCAGTCATATACAACTTTCTCACTTCACATTATTATCTTATAGACTAATCCCATCTCCAATTTTTCACTGTTCCGGTGTCAGAAAAGAATGCGTATATGAACGACGCTGGAATGAAATTCGTAAAGCACGTCCAAGCCACCGAAGTTAGTGTTTTTGAATTGTGACACTAATTAAGTTAACATAACCCGAACACAAATTCCCGAACCTCGGAACTGTCGAAATTGTTTTGTTTTTGTCGGTAATCCTGTGGATGACCATAAAAGAAGAGTTGCTGTACATTGGTTCGGACACCAAATTTCAAAAAACATTGTATAGGATCGCTACCACTGACGCTGCACAAGCCCGACCCTTTAAAGCCAAGTTAAAATCACGAGGGCAACACAGGTGGTCCATATTGAGATATACCGTTACGGCCTTTCTTAAATGTAAAGTTATTTTATCTATTAAATCAAATTAATTCATCTGCCAGGCACTTGAATGTGAGCCGCACTCTCATTGTGAGGGAGTAATGATACTATCCGATTTCCCAAACTGAAATAGGTGGGGGTCCAAACCGGGGACATCCCCACTACTACCACTCACATAACTAACGAAATACACGAACATCACGAGTATTTCCGACGGCTTATTACAAAGAGTGTGTGCAAGTATAAGTTTCTGCTGATCTTAGGAAAGTGCTTTGAACTTAAGTGATAAATATATGCTGCAATTGGAGATACTAATTAAGTCCGATTAAGATAGGTTATGTATCATCGCAAAATAAGACAATGAACTTAAGATCAGAAAAATTTTTCCAGATAGCAGATCTATATCAAGTAATTCCGTTAGAGGTTTCCAGAATATCATCGAAGGTAAAGGTGAAGAAAGGTGTTTATATTGAGCAACCTTCCCTAAACACACTCCTAGACTAAAATAATGTACATTACAGGTATACATATAGCATATCTGAGAGTATATTCTAATGGTATGAAGAAATTTGTATAGGAAAATTGGTCAGTTTATATCAAGAATTATTGGGATAAAATAAATATGAGTTTGACTGGCATATTCACGCACATTACTACACCCCGGCTAGAGTCTTGATGATAATGGGACCCAGTGACTTGCAGCATGATTATAACACCCACCAATAAAGAACAACTGAGTAAATCACCCAGTGAAGATTGGGAAACAAACTATTTACAACTAAATATATAAAGCTACTGCAATTTAGTGTCTTGCAGCTCATCGAAGCCCGTCGGTCTACTCCGGGTGACCGTGAGTTTGACCACAAACGAAGGATGTTACGTAATGAAATTGGGCAAGGCTTGCGTAAGGACTGAGAAGCCTGGTGATCGGAGCGTGCTAATGACCTGGAAGCGACAGCTGCATCTGGTAATTACCGGAAGCCCTTCCAACTCAACTGAGTCGCTGGAAGCAAGAGGTGTGGTGTGAGCGAAACAAACTGTGAGGATGACGGGATGCCAATCACTAACATCCATCGGAGTCTTAGACGATGGACAGAGTCCTTCGAAAGGCAGTTCAACTGGCCTGCAGCTCCCGCAACATCGATCAGACTATCCTGCCCTCCATGGTCGGTGACGACTGATCCACCAAATGAGGGGGAAGTCCGCAAGGAACTCCAATTATTGAAGCGCTACAAATCACCCCACCCAGATGACTTACCTTCAAACTATTGGCTTCTGTCATACTTCGTAGGTTGTTGAAAAATCGAGAAAGATTGACTCGCGAGGAGCAGGCTGGTTTTCCTTCTGGTCCAGGGTTGCTCAATCTCACCATTCCTCTTCAACTTTGCCATCGATGACACTGGAAACAGCTCTGATGGATGTAATTAATGGCGGTGTGGATCTGTTGCCTGGTGAAAGACTTCGACCTTGAGTATACGGATGATATTGTCTTACTGTGTGATGATGCCCAAACCATGCAATCCGCACTTAATTGGTTGGCAATCAGTGTCCGTAGGTACGGTATGTGCTTTTCACCTTCTCGACTTGCAGGACCCAGACCCTGTACTCACCCTGGATGGTGAGCAGATGAAAGTAGTCGAAAAGTTCGTGTATCTAGGTAGCTGCATAAGTGCTGGTGGTGGCGTGAGTGATGAGACCAATGCACGTATAGTGAAAGCCAGAGCGACTTATGCCAATCTGGGCCATCTTTGGCACCTTCGTGATGTTAGTCTGGCTGTAAAAGGTCGGATCTACAACGCGTCGGTGAGAGCAATTCTGCTCTATGCTTGTGAAACATGGCCTCTCCGAGTTGAGGACGTTAGACGACTCTCTGTGTTCGATCATCGTTGTCTCCGAAGGATTGCTGACATTCAGTGGCAACACCATGTTGGTAATGCAGAGGTCCGGCATCGTGTATTCAGACGGAGAGACGATAATCCAATTGGTATCACCATCTTGAAACATCGACTTCGGTGGCTTGGACATGTTCTACGAATGTCGTCCCGGAGAATTCCACGTCGTGCATTATTTGCTGACGCTGGGACTGGTTGGAAAAAGCGGAGAGGTGGTCAGTGCATGACATGGTGTCGTGGTATGAAAGAAAGCTGCAACGAGATGACTCCTATTGATGTTTCACGACTCCCTGGCTGGGGTCTGAGAGATGGTGCGACACAGTGGCTAGAGACGTTATCAGATATGGCTCACAATAGAAGCCAGTGGCTATCCTGTTGTGACCTTCTTTTACTTTCTTCATAAAAAAGTTGGTTGTATCTTAACCTTAACTAAAAGAATTCTTCTGATTGTACCTTTCCGTTCCCCTATTATTACGACTATTATTATTACACTACATTACACCAATCTCTTCCTTATTGTTCTTTTTTTCACCCTCCTTACCTTTTTTCTTTTTACTTCTCTTTAAATTCTCATTGTTTTGTGTGGCGCATATATATTTGGTGCACTCTTGTACCAATATATATGTGTTCAAATAAATAAAAAATAAACAATAAAACATGATAAATGTAAGAGCAGACAGAGTACATAGTGGAAGTATGTATATAAATATGCCAATTAAAACGAAAATAAGCGTGTTAGAGTATCGTTGGATGAGCTAAAGTTGTATTACAGGTATGCTGGTAGTCTTCTCTTCTCGTCTGTCTACATTACGAAATACTTTTTGAGAAACCTGTAAAGGAAACTGGTTCAATAGTGGTTTTGACTAGTTGGAAGTGTGAATGGAAAGCCGAAGATACACCTGATTAACCCTAACCACACAGGATTTTTGTGAGCAACTGTCTATGCACTCGTTCCGTACTTTTTTGGGCCTTACTGCCCAAACTAAACAACTATGGGGCAAGGTGAGTTGTGGTATTTTTAGGGTCAGATTTCCTTCGTTTTGGGAAGGCAGCATCATGGGATGTGTTAGTTATCCGTGTGAATCGCCTGACTGTCATTTCAAGTCAGTAAAACTTTTCGCGCAGACTTTAGATTTGCTACTTTTGTTTTTACCACTATCTAACCAATCTGCCTGTACGGTAGAACCCAAAAGAATAAGTGTTTCAACCAATGTAACTTGATTAGGTTGTCAATCTAGACAGTCCTGAATATCAAGGCAGCAAGTAAAGTAGAGAGTCAATGAATAATGTCGTAAAAACTAATAGCTTTTTGACACACTGAATTACTTCAACAATCCTTTCTTAACGTTTTTATAACTATTGTATTTAACCTAAGTTGTCCCGTTGATTAACAAAGCTTTAATGTAAGATACAACACTCGACATCTACAACAAAATAGCAACACATCAGAAGCTATGACAGGTAAGAAATGTCTATTACTGTTCATGACAAAAATTCTCCATAAAATTAACATTATTGTACAAGCAGTACTTCAATATAGTACCTCAAATCGAATTTTCTTAATCTTTGTTTTACCGTGACTTACTAAGTTTTCTCAAACTACTATACTTCACTGCAAAGCCTTTCAGTAAGTTAGTTACAACTTAGGACCAGACACATGTATGCATTGGTCCAAGTTGACGCACATCATTAGCACAACAAAACTGGCACAGAATTCATAGTAGTTACTTCAATGGTAGCAATATATAAAATAAACATTGCATATAATGATATAATACAGGAAGAATCAGTTCGTAGAAAGAAAAATATGAAATAATTTTAATCTGATAGTTTAAGGGAAGATAGAAAGAGTATACACCGACGCCATTGTGATCGATTCGGAGCCGTGTCAACAAGAGTCTCCAACCATTGGTTACGATAGTCGCAATCCTGAAGGGAGTGCCTAATGTCAATCTTATGACTAAATGTAAATGACCTTCCTAGTCTCTTGCCATCATCGGTCCTGTTACACATTGATGAAATCAAGATAAGGAGATAAATGAATCAGATAGTCCAGAGATCTGGAAAGACCCACATAAATTATCTGGATGGTCTAGAACTTGGTCACTGTTAAATAAGTCCATCATGATTCAAGT